CTAATAAGGGGGTTTTCCCCCTTTCCTATTATAGAGAAAAGGAGAGATAAACTTTTGGGAGGCTGAATGTGTCAAGATTGATTCTTCAAACAAAAAGGTTTTTTGTCGGTCCAATATTGAAAACTTGGTGGGAAGTGGTGAATTTTCCTTGGACTATGACTTCTTGGTTGTAGCAATAGGAGCACAAGTGAATACTTTTAACACCCCTGGTGTCAAGGAGAATTGTCATTTTCTGAAGGTAAATTTATTTGTTTATGGTTCAATTTATTTATTTATTTTTTTCTTTTGCTTGTTTATGACTGTTGGTTTATCAAGAGATTCATTGATTCTTTTAATTTATTCATTAGGAAAAATATTAATGACGCTCTTCTATGATCACTCACAGGATGTTGAGGATGCTCAAAAGATTAGACTGTCTGTGATTGATTGCTTTGAGAAGGCTGTTCTTCCTAGTCTATCTGATGAAGAGCGAAGGGCAAATCTTCATTTTGTAGTTGTTGGAGGAGGTCCAACTGGTGTGGAATTCGCTGCAGAGCTGCATGATTATGTCCATGAAGATTTAATCAAGTTATATCCAACTGTTAAAGATAAAGTGAAAATATCGTTGATTCAATCAGGAGATCACATCTTGAACATGTAAGAACAACATTAAGCATTAACGTTCTTAATTATTTTTTTAATGTTACATGAACTACTTTTTTGGTTACTTTAGGAACTAATATTGAAACTTTTGTATCTTCCCCAAATTCTATATTTATTTATTGTGTTACTTGTGTTGAATATAGTGCTACCTCTGATACAACTAACAGCATTATTAGATCTGTTGCTAATGCTCCTTTAACTAATAATATTTCTCTCTAGTCTATGCATGTTACTTTTTCCATCTGAAATTAGCTGTGTATTGGATGAACTGCAGCATGATATTTGGCTAATGTTAGACTTCAAACTAAATTCGCTCATAGGTTCAGATTCAATTGCATGTTACTTTATGTTTTATGGTTGGTATTAAGGATCTGCTTCTTTGTCATTGATTCAGAAAGGATTGACGTGGTGATAGATTCCTTTAACAATTACATCTTGGTAATTGATGCCTCAATGGTGTATGCCCAGCTGTTATTACTATCAATGATGTATTTGATCCTATTTAGCTTTGATTGAAGACTGTATGGTATTTGGTTGAAACTTGTAACAATAGATTATTACTTTTTTCCCAACAATTTAAGCTTTCTATTTTTATGCATTCTGCCACCTTTTAACATTTTGTATTGAGTTTCTAGTATTGCTAACCTCATAAAATAAGACCAACCATCAAGGAAGTCTGACTTCAAATCTTTCATATTCTCAACAAAGCAGTCACAACTTGGATAAAATGTCATCTTCAATCTTGTAGGTTTGATGAAAGAATAAGTTCATTTGCTGAGCAAAAGTTTATGAGAGATGGGATAGAAGTTCAAACAGGATGCCGGGTTCTTAGTGTTAAAGACAAGGATATTACAGTGAAGGTGAAATCGACAGGGGAGCTTTGCTCAGTGCCTCATGGGTTGGTTGTTTGGTCAACTGGCATTTCAACTCTTCCAGTTGTAAGGGACTTTATGCAAGAAATTGGTCAGGTGATTATTCATTCCATGCATTTCTGAAATGCACTTTTCCCCATCCTTTCTTCTTCACTTCTCTTGTATGTGCATGTGCACATAGTGAAGAAGGTACTCTTGCTTTTTTAGGATTTGTTTGGATAAATTAATCCAAAAGCACTTTCTAGGAGAGAAATTTAGGAATGAAAATTGAAATAAGTTTCTTCATAAGTTAAAACTAACTTATGCATGAATTAAAAATTAGATTACGAAGAAGTTAGTAAGATAAAGCTTCTACAAATTAGCTTATGCACAAGATAATTTTAACTTATGGAGAAGTTTATTTCATTTTTCCTTCCAATTTTTCTCTCCTAATAGTGCTTGTGGAGAAATTTACCAAACATACTCTTAGTATATTATGTCCTATCCAACATGTCGTCAATGATTTCCTCTTGGCTTAAAATTACAAGTAACTATTGTATAGGTAATCATATCTGTATGTGATAATTTCTCTATGTGCAGGCTAAAAGGCATGTACTAGCAACTGATGAATGGTTGCGTGTGAAGGAATGTGAAGATGTGTATGCCATTGGTGATTGTTCTAGCATAACTCAACGTAAAATCATGGTATCTCTTCAGCCTTCAAGAGGCCTTTTTAGACTTCTAAGTTTATTTAATACAGCAATGTGCTGCATCCTATCTGAATAATACAGATGCGACCAACCTGATTTGGTTTTGATGAAAAAATTTAGCTCATTGTGCTTGTCATTTGATTATTTCTGATAAATTCAACAAAGTTGTTACATGTACTTAAATGCTATAATTTCCATCTTCAGATGAAATCTGAGGAATTATGTAACCCTAAGACAGTTACGGAAATAACAATTGAATTTAGTATGTCATAATTAACTTGTTACCTTGGTTTCTAGGATGATATCACAGCCATATTTGAGGCTGCAGACAAAAATAAGTCAGGCGCCTTAACTATTGAAGACTTCCAGGAGGTGATGGATGACATTGTCTTAAGATATCCACAAGTTGAACACTATCTAAAGCAGAAACATGTGCGTGATTTTACCACACTCTGGAAAGATTTACAAGGGAAAGAATGCAAGGAAATAGACATAGAATCGTTTAAGCTGGCCCTTTCTCATGCAGATTCACAGGTGAAGAGTCTGCCAGCAACTGCACAGGTATACATCGTTTCACCAGTAACTAAATGCTTGCTTATGCAGATGCTTTTTGCTGTCAAATATACACTAATTTTTTAATGTATCGCTATATCTAGGTTGCTGCCCAACAGGGTGCATATCTAGCTAGATGCTTCAACCGAAGGGATCATGTTGAAGAGCATCCTGAAGGTCCTCGGCGATTTAGAAAATCTGGCCGTCATAAGTTTCTTCCCTTCCGGTAAACTAGTACTTCATGTTACTTATTGTATTTTAGCCTTATTTCCAGTAGCTGAAGTGGGACTTGCATTTTTTTCCAATATACTCTCTCATGTCTATTAATATTAGGTTTGATGTGTGGATAAACTGTAGGTAATCCTTTTTAATGGATCTAAAATAGGTTCATGGGACTTGGATCCACTTTCTTAAGACTTAGTTGTGTTTCCTGTATTTCCTGTCTATGGAGTGGAAATTGCAAAATTGTCTACAGTATGTAAATAAAATGCCAGGGAAATCCAGTATACTATTATGGTCTCTCATTTTTGTGTTAGTTATTATTATTATTATTATTTTTTTTTTCTCAATCAAAGACATATAATAGCTAATTTTGTGTATATGCCATTGCTTGCTATATCCCTGACTAATCAGTGTGAGATGGTTGCTTGTTCACAAAAGGTATAGGCATTTGGGGCAATTTGCTCCACTTGGTGGTGAGCAAGCAGCTGCAGAACTTCCTGGAGATTGGGTTTCCATGGGTCACAGCACTCAATGGCTTTGGTATTCTGTATATGCAAGGTACTTGTTTGACATATAGCAACTATTTTTTTGTGCATAACCAGTTTTATGTAATAACTCTTCTGCTCAACATTCAGCAAGCAAGTGAGTTGGCGCACAAGGGTCTTGGTCGTGTCTGATTGGACAAGAAGATTCATATTTGGCAGAGATTCGAGTCGAGTTTAATTTCACACCTTTTCTTCTGTGTTAATTTTTGTACCTAAAGACTAATGTATAGTGATATGTTGATTGAACCACAATTTTTCACCCCCGATTGGAAACACTTTGTGAATTGTCATTGGAATTTAGTTAAGAGTGCTTCTGTTTACATTTTCCATTTTGCATCAATATACGTGGATTTGGATCCTATCAAGCCTTTTCTCACGTTCCTTCATGCATTATAAGCAGAAAAAAACGGAGAATCAAAATTTAAAGGATTATATTAGTTATTTCTGTCTTTTTCTTTCATGGCAAAAGAATTTGAACATAAAGGAATTTATCAATTTATAATATATAATTTTTGAAACGTGTAATATAGAGTTTTCATCTATTTAGTAGAGAATTTGTATTTGATCTACACCCTGCACAATATTTCGTTAATTTTACTTTCATTTTCTAATTTTTTTTATCCTTTTCTCGTTACAATATATATCTATTTGCATTTTTGCACAATATCTGTAAACCTCGTTAGTCTTTGGTCACCAATTATCTAGTAAATACTGAATACAACCTCAAGCTTTTACGGAAATAACAAATCCTATTACAACAACAATTCACCATTGGGTTACTAGTACTGGACAATATCCACATGTCTTCATCACTAAGCTACCATCACCATTAGAGAAAAAACGCATCACATGAATCAATTTCCAATTTTTGTTTAAAAATGCATTAAAGAATTGTGTTAATTAAGTAGCTAGCACAACACTATAGTAACTTGGGATGACTATAATATTTGTGAACAAGATACTTTGACTAAAAAAATGTTGTGATATTCCATTAGCAGGGAGGCTCTCAAGGATGTTAAGCAAGTATATGTTAAGTACATGCAAAAGTACACTAAAAAATATAAACACGTATATATTCTATTTTGATATATCACCTTTTTTGGGTTCACATAAGTAGGAAAAAAGATGAAGGTTCACCAAATTAGACATTACACTATAAGCCAAAAAAGCTAAGTTCAAAACTTCTTTAATTTATGCATTAAAGAAGGGTAAAATATTATTTTAATTAGGTGAAAAAAAGTGAAATTCAAAGGCTTTCTTTTGTTAAAAGTTTTGTAACGATTAACGTTGTAATAACTAATCAAGAAGACTAATGATCCGAGAATTAAGCCGCAACTGCTCGAACCTCGTATTCCCCGATTCGTTTCAACGGACACATCTCTCTCTCTCAGGTTCTCATTGTTTTTGTTTAGTCATTTTGACAACATCATCTTCTGTTCTTGGCCATGCATTTTTCAACGTGTTCAAACTCCGCAAACACATGAGATCTATTCCTCGTACTAAAGGACAAGTGCATGTATTATTTCCCTTAAGAAAATGTATTTACATGCTACGTGGCAGCAGTAACAACTTTGACCTTACTCTTCCGTTTTAACCACCACTCAATTGTTTCCTTGTTTTTATTTCAGAGAAAGCACAAGGGAAAGCGAAAGTGGCATAGCTAGCGAAAGGTTTCACAATGCGTTGGTCTTCCTTCTATCACACTGCCTCGAGGCTTTTCCATGAGTATCCATCATGGTCCAAGTCTGTTATTGTATGCACTACCATCAGGTCTAACATGCATACTCAAACCTTAATTAATTACGTTCTTGCTTTTTTCTTTCTTTAATGTTCTTTATTATTCACTTAAAATATATTATCAACAGGACAGGTTGTCATTGCAAAAACAGTTTCATGTTGGTGTTGGGTTTTCGTGTGTTCATATAATCTTTATTTAACTTGCTATACATGTATAATCAACTTATACCAATAGTATATCATCGTAGATTGAAACAAATGGTTTAAAATCCGGTCTAATCCTTTAATATTGATAGACCTCTATTGACTCTTTTGACAATGATAATCCTGAATTAAATTAGATATTATTAAGTTTAGACTAATCATTAAGTGCATAGTAATTTTTGATTTGAGAATTTTTAATATACTATTGGTTTCATGTGTGAAGTCATAGGAGTCTCATCCTATTTACCATTTTCAATATCAAATGACTTATGCCGATAATATATAATTCTTAGAATTTGCTTTTAGACCTAGCTAATTCAATCTCAAAAGTTAATTTATTACATGAAGATATTGTTTCCCACTTAAATCATATACACCTTAAGTATAAAAATTTTCGGATTGAGTACTTGTGAGTGGTTTGACAATAATCTAATAACAAATGATTTGATGGACCTTACAAAAACTAATAGAATAAACTCTTATATAGTCTTAGAATTTAAATATAGGTGTAATTTAGCCCTAACAAATAGTTCATAAGATGAAAATTACTCTCTCTATTTATATACACAGTTTAATTCATATACCATATCTCCAACAATAATACATCAATAAATTTAGTTAGACAAAATTTATACCAGTGAAATCACTTACCATGTTTTTTTTTGTCAGTGTATTACATTTTTTTAGTGAGTCATCGATCTCCTTATATAAGTCGTTTGGCGTTTGATTTTATTTTAGTCTAAGTTTTTAATTCATTTTTATATTTATCTTTATTTTTTATTGTATTGCAGTGGTGGAGGATTAGTGGCATATTCCGATGCCAAACCAGAACATGGTGAAGAACCTATTCAAAAAAAGAAGGTGGTGGTGCTTGGAACTGGTTGGGCTGGAACCAGTTTTTTGAAAAATATCAAAAGCAATTCCTATGATATTCATGTGGTTTCACCTCGTAACTATTTTGCATTCACTCCATTGCTACCAAGTGTCACGTGTGGCACAGTGGAAGCAAGGAGCATCGTTGAACCCATTCGCAGTATCACCCGGAGGGTACTCCTTTTTCCATCAATTAAGTTCTCTCGTATAAATAACAACACAAATTTAGCTATTATCGGATCTCCAACTTCGTTTATGGAATTTAAGTATTCATATCTGTCATGTCTATGCATTTACATAATCGTGCATAATGTCTCAGCTTCAAAAATTATATTATAGTGAAACCACAGTTACAATTATATATACACTTACAAGGAGAATTCTGTTCAACAGAGCGGTGTAAACATTCATTTCAGTGAAGCTGAATGCTATAAGATTGATCACAAGAACAACAAAGTCTTTTGCCGTTCTGGTAAAGACAGGAAGACAGGTGGCGAAGACGAGTTTTCCATTGATTATGATTACCTCGTAATAGCTATGGGAGGCCGTTCTAATACCTTCAACACACCTGGTGTTTATGAGCATGCCCATTTCTTGAAGGTATATATATATATTTATATATCTTTTTAAATAAAACTTCAATGCAATTCCTTATCATGATTGAAATTTTATTTAGACAAGATGCTTAATGTAGACCATCTCCAAAAGTATGTAGGCATTGTATATAAGTTTCCCTAATTTGTCTAGGTGAAATTATTGTATGGTCATAATCCTGATGTTCATGTCTCGGTCGATTTTCACGAGACATATAACTGAGATTTTTAATTTAATTAAGAGTTAATAATAATTGGTTATGTGGAACGTGGAGATTGATTGAGAGCATGATGATCTTAGACCATTCAATGATTTCTCCTTTGCATGATCCTGACTACTATGTATTCATGGCCTGTTAAATCTTCATGAAACATATAATTGAGATTTTTAATGAGTAAGAGTTAATAACTCTCAGTTATGTGTAACATGGAGATTAATCAGCACAATAGTCCTAGACAATATAATAATTTCTCCTTTTCATGTTTGCATGTGTGTATTCATATGCTAAACTAAACTACTCTTGAATCTCTCTAAAGGAAGTGGATGAAGCTCTAAGAATCCGTCAGACAGTGATTGACCTCTTTGAAAGAGCTAGCCTTCCTTCTGTATCAGTGGAAGACAAGAAAAAACTTCTGAGTTTTGTAGTTGTTGGTGGTGGTCCAACTGGGGTAGAGTTTTCTGCTGAGCTTCATGACTTTGTACATGAGGATATAGCTAAGTTATATCCTTCCCTTAAAGACTATGTGAAGATTACTCTCCTGGAGGCAGGCGATCATATCCTAAACATGTAATAAATATATTTTCTTTATTAGCATATAAAGAGCAGGACAATACTTGAACAAAGTTTCATTAGTGTTTTTAGTATTATTGTTTGATCAGAATTAGAGTTTTACTTCAATAATCTATATTGACCTTTAATGCAAACCTTTGTTATCTAGATTATGGAAGTGAAACTCTAATTTTGAAAGGAGAATAAAAACACTTGTGAAACTACTTTTAAGTTTTGCTTTTTATTGCATGATTGGTGTGACAATGAGCATGTGAAAATTTTAAAATTATTTTGGATGATACACATTTCACCTCTAATGAAGCATCCTCTTTTGCCACCAGCAATTTTTCCTTTTTGTTTGTTAAATGTGAGTCTATGATGTAATTTCGTGGTTCAATGCAGGTTTGACAAGCGAATAACAGAATTTGCTGAACATAAGTTCGCCAGAGATGGGATTGATGTGAAGTTGGGATCTATGGTTGTCAAAGTTAGTGAAAACGAAATCACTGCCAAAGAAAGGTCAACTGGTCAAGTTGTTTCTATACCTCACGGAATGGTAGTTTGGTCAACTGGTATTGGTGCTCGCCCAGAAATAGTTGAATTCATGAAGCAGCTTGGCCAGGTTTGTTTCTTTGTTTCTCACAATACAAATGCAAAATTTAGAAGCAAGTGACTGTCACTGTTCAAATTTTGCTAGCATTGAATTCTTTCTGTGACAGACTAATAGACGTGCCTTGGTCACTGATGAATGGCTAAGGGTGGAAGGATGTGACAATGTCTATGCTCTAGGTGATTGTGCCACTATAAATCAACGTAAAGTTATGGTAGGTGCAATCTATGCATTGTGCATTCTATAAGCTTTTTTTTAACCTATGCTCCTTCATTTAGCCTATGATATGATATAGGACAAAACTCATGCATGTTCATAGCTGTTTTTGTGTCATTCGTTAACCAGAATTCATTATGGGAAAAAATTCTAATTCTGGTAGGAGAATAATACAAAAAATACTCATAAAACTACATCTAAATTTTGTCATATGACATGATTATGGAAGGAAAAAAAAATAGTTAGTAGCTACCACATTATATTTCTTGTTGACTATTGATTTTATTAACCATTGACATGCTACTTTTGCTAGGAAAAGATGACATTTTAATGACAACACATCATATGGTGCAGCAGTGATCTGCTATTATTTTATGTTCAAGTATAACATTTTAGTATCATCCCTTTGTGTGTCATGGTTTTACCAGGAAGATATAGCCGTGATATTTAGCAAGGCTGACAAGAACGATTCTGGGAAGTTAGATCTTCAAGAATTTAAAGAAGTTGTTAATGACATCATTGAGAGGTACCCACAAGTGGATATTTATTTAAAGAAGAACCAAATGAAAGACATGGCCAGCTTGCTAAAGAAACCTAAAGACAGTGCTATTGTAGTGGACATTGAATACTTTAAACAAGCACTTTCCAAGGTAGACTCCCAGATGAAAAATCTTCCTGCAACAGCTCAGGTACATGTACAGTACATACTACGTACTAGTTATTTTCAATAATATTTGAAACTTTTCCTACTTAAAAACTAGGGGTTATATACTTACATTACTTTTGCTTTGGTGGTGGCTTCCAACTTTAAATCATTCTAGGTAGCTGCACAACAAGGAGTTTATCTTTCAGACTGTTTCAACCGCATGGAGTTGTGTGAGAAGTATCCTGAAGGGCCTCTCAGGTTTAGGGGAGTTGGACGCCATAGGTTTCGTCCCTTCCGGTATGCACTACTTTTTCCATTTCCTTTTTGTCCTATTAGCATAAATTTCTCAATCAACAATACTTATTGGAGAAAAAAGTAAGAAGGTAAAATGAATTGAGCTTCTTTCATTAAAAATTAACTTCTATGCTCAACTTTTATACAAACTCTCATCTAACTTTTCCAAAAGTTAAGATACATAATTAATTTTAGCATATACGAGAAACTTAACTCATTTTACCTTATTGTTTTCTTCTTCAATAATTACTTGGAAAACTTTTTATCCAAACAAAGCCTAATCTTTCAATGTAGCCAGATACTGCATAAAGGGTATTGTTAGCAATAACATAACCAACTAGCAGCTAATGTTCATTGCGAATAAAGAATGCAAGTATTAGGGTGTTCTAAACTATGCATGCTAATTCATGTGACATAGAGTGCGGTTAATTTAACTAACTAAATGGTTTTAAGTGGTGAAATAAGTTAAACCAATAGTCAATGTGTTTGTAATTCACCATGAACAAACAATTGATTAATTCAGTTAAAGCATTTGGGTAATTTTGAGTGTGTAATCGAAGTTGTGCATGATTGATTGAAATAGTATTGACCAAGAACTTAAGGCCCAACTCTTTGTTTCTCATTGTTTATTTGTTGAAAGGTACAAGCATCTTGGACAATTTGCTCCTCTAGGAGGAGAGCAAACTGCAGCTCAGCTTCCAGGAGATTGGATTTCAATTGGTCAGAGCACCCAGTGGCTTTGGTATTCTGTGTATACAAGGTAATTTGTTTAACACAAAACTTCATCATATAGGCTTAGTGCTATTACAGAATTGATTGTTGGACACCCAGCAACCTACCTAACACCTATGAAAGTCTATAAGGTGATATGATTCGATAGAAAGAATTGATAAATGTTAATGGATTTATAATTAAAAGATGTTCAAAATATCATTATTTGTGTTGGGATAAAATTTACATGTAGTTTCAATTAAAATTGATATTTTACTTCAATAATATATAATAAAAGATTTCATTAAAAGTCATCATGTATATTAAAATAAAACTTTAATTTTGATTATTTAATAATATTAACAGTACCAATTATACTGTATTTAACTTTTGTCCTTGGTGTTATTATGAGTTCATCCTCTAACGAATCACAAAACATACAGCAAACAAGTGTGCTGGAGGACAAGGGCTTTGGTGGTTGGTGACTGGTGTAGGCGATACACATTTGGCAGAGACTCAAGTCGAATCTAAGATTTCATTCAAAGCTAAGGCCTACTTCATACTGATTTCTTGGCACAGCAGAGCAAAAGATCCCAACCCCACCTCAGAGGGCATACAAAAAATAGAAAGAAAAAAAAGGGTGTTTAATTTTATGCAAAAATTTTCTCCTTTTGTTCCTATGTTAAGGTACATTGATATTGATTGTATTGATAAACAGCCTTGTGTTAAATTGGTTTTAGTTGCCTAACCGAAAAATATCACATTTAGTGGCTTGACTTCATCTTGTGCAATAAATCCATATGGACTTTTCAGGAGCTTGTTTGCTGCTAGTTCAGTACAGACAACAAAGTTCTAATTAAAATCAAAATAATAAATTTCTCATTACAACTATACTAATCTCCATTGTGTATGAAAATTCATCGAGCCAACAAGTTACAGTACAGTTAGTAGGATTAGTCCCTAGTTCAGTAGACTGAAAATACATATGGCAAGAAGAAAAAAAATTGTAGGGGGTTTTCAGTTCCAGATCATATTGGGGTAAGATTGATATGTGATGTATTGTTGAGCATTGAATATTTGAATTAAGTTACATCATTGCAGAACTCCAGTGTTGGTTTTGGTTAGAATCCTTCTAAATGTACGTTCAAATGAAAACAACAACTACTCATTTCCTATTTTTATGCTTTGGAAAGAATTTCTGTTTGCTTCATGCTAAACGGTTTCTCAAATACACACTTAAAAGTGAAATTCAACAAAAATGATATGTAAGAGAAAATCATAGTATATGGTAACTTAAACTTCGATCTAAGTGTAGAACACTCATCAAATGATACTTTTTTTTTTTCAACACAACATATTCATTGTGGGAAGCACTAACCAAAAGTGAAATATTTTTCTCTTAACTTAATTTATTCCACACATTTTTATTTATTTATTTATTGGTACAAGATATGTACCGATTTCAAAATTCTAAAATCTTACTAGTCAAATTATAACTTTTCTTCCTTACCATAAAGAAACTCCCTTTTTTTAACTTTCTTTTGATTAAAGCATACAAGTTTAAATATGGTTTTAGTCTTTTGAATTTAAGAAAAATTTATTTTTAGTCTCTGAAATTTAAAATCAATTTTTTTTAATTTTTGTAATTTTAAAAAAATCTTATTTTAGATCTTATATTCAAATTTTGTTAAAAAATATATCAAATATTATGACATAAAATTTACTTATTGACATTTCTGTTAGTAAAAACATTATATTAAATTTGATTGATATTACATAATTATCTCAATCTATTACTTTCAAACGTGTTATTAGTGATCTAATAGACTAAAAATAACAATTTTAAATTTGAGAAACAAAAAATAAAATTATTTAAAATTTAAGAAACTAAAAATATATTTAAGTCAAACTTAAAAATATGTTTTGAATAAACTAGAATATGAAGAAAAAAAAATGAAATAATTTTTTACTCACTAAAAATAACTTAATTTAAAAAATAAATTTTTAGAAAAGCTCTTGTAATTTTCTTCTCTCTTTTTTTTTTTTTTTTTTTTACAAATTAACTTATTTTTTCCTTCTTATATTTATTCAAACATAATGTTAACTACTAAAGGACATTTACACGTGAACGTTACCTTATTGACCTTTTTAAAAAAGAAAAATTATATATGTACGACAAATTTGTAGAATAATAAGATAGAAAAGTAACATTGTAAGAGCGAAAAAATATTGTTTTACTTAAAAAATTATATATAAATAATAACACTCTTAAAAAAAATTGAGATAAACAATTAGGTACAGTTACTCATCATCATCTCATCGACGCCAATAACAAATATCCTAATACCATCAAGAAATCTGCTATCCTAGTTAAGAAATCAGAACAGCATTCTGAGTCCAAAATTAATTTTATAAAATGGAGCAAGCACATTGGTTGATTGGTATGGGCTTCCATAATGGTTGTTAATTTCTTAATTATTCCATTAAGATGTGTACAAATTACAACTTACAATTTCCAAAATGAAAAGTAAAAAAAGATGGAAATTGAAGTGTAGGAAGATGCGAAGCAGAGGATGCTAGCCCTGGCCCCAGCAAGCCAAGAACATAACTTTGCGGAGAGACTCATCGGCCCTATCCTCCACGTCACTCTTCTCGGCGGAGAAGAGGCTCCGCCGGGTCTTGTGAGGAAAATGGTGGTTTTTGTTGTGGTGGGCCCTTGCTTCTGTTGGATCTTGGACCGTTTAGATTATTGATAAATGTTAGTGATGTAATTTCTAACCTACTCGTTTACATTTTTCAATATTCATTATAATTTAATAAATATTATATTTTCTTTTATAAGTTTTACTTTACTTTCTTTTTTTATATATTAAAATAGCACATAAAAAACTTTAAAGTGTGATAATTGGATACTATTTCAACATTTTGCTAAAGAATATCTAATTTTATTAAGTACATGTATTGATATAAGTAATAATTAATTTATGTAATTTTTATTTTATTTTAAATTTATGTCAAACAAAATTTAATTAATATAATTTTTACTTTATGTAGAAATTATTATTTTTATATTTAACTAATTTTTGAACGATACAAAGATGTATATAGATATATGTGATATCTAACAAAATATAGATGGGACACAAATTTAATATCTAATGAATATTAGAGATAAAGATAAGTATAAAATACGAACTTAGAGATGGAGATATAGATATTTAAATTGACATTTACTTCACCCTGTTTTCATCCATTATACAATTTAGATTTTTTTTATAACATTTATCGTGGTTCATTCATGTTACTTCCCAACAAAGTTGACTTATTACAATATAATGGAGATATAAATGTCATGATTTGAAAGCGTGAAAAAATCTAAAAGATGGTTTAAAATTTCATATTTAAGATTTAAACTTTCATAATTTTACTTTTAGTTATCACATTCAGCAGAATTTGTCTTTGTATATAATGTTATCATTAAACTAAATTTATTTTTGTATACCACATTATCACTTTTTTGGCTACCTTAACTTTGTTATTTTTATAAAATTATTTTACACAATTCCATAATAGTAAGATATTATCTATTTTGGACATAAATCCTCTTGATGCTTCTCAATCATTAGTCTATATGTGTGTTTTATAAATTTTTATTTCTCTTTTTATTTTATTAATGTGAAATTTTATTTATATTCTAATAATACTAAAATGTACCTAAAAGAACTAAAAAAAATGTAGTTACTAATTATTCTCAAATAATTAGTCACTCAAGAACAAAAATGTTTCAAATTTCAACGATAATAATCTATATTTTTAATTTAATTTATGTTTTAATAAATTAAAAATTATGTAAAAATTAAAATAATTTTTTTTAAAATTAAAAAAATACCATTGAAAAGTTGGTCCCAACCTGAGTTCCCATGTTTTTGTATGTAAGGGGACAGTTTTTTTTTTGGTAATAATGTATGGGGACAGTTCGATGAATATTTTGGGAGGAGTGAGACTTTGATACTTGAAAGTTTTTCTTTGTGGCATTTTAATAAAAAAAAAATCATTTTACTAGATAACTATTGAGTTTCAATTTTGATTTATAGTTTTTTTATTTAATTTTAACTAATCGAATGTATTATAGTGCTAGTGGTAACACTAATTTTTACGTTCGTTTAAATAGGCTGAGATTTAATTAAAAAATAATTATATGAATTTCAAATTCTTTATTAAATTTTATTTTTATAATTATGTTATTAATGTGAAACATCTACTAATTTTATTAAATGATTAATTTCTAGGTTAAAACTCTAATTTAGTCCCTTATAATATTTTTTGTTTCAATTTAGTCCCACTTTAATTTTTTGTTTCAATTTGGTCCCTAATAATTTAAATTAGTGCAATGACGGACTTCCATCCAAATTATTTAAACGGAATTAACTATTGGCCACGTGGATGCCAAGTGGATGCCACGTAGATGCATAGGTGGATGCCAAATTTTTTTAATGCACCTAGAACCAGATACAAAATTAACAAACCACGAGTGCATCAGAACGGGGGGTTCTGAAACCAGAATGGGCCGTTCTAGTTTTAGAATAGGTCGTTCTGGATTCAGAATGGATCGTTCCAAAATGTCAACCACATACGTGCGTTCAACAAAATGTCACAATGTAGTTTATAAATTAAAAAATTCATAACATAACATAAATTTAAAGACAGAAATATGGTTCGGAGACTGAAAATAAAAATTCATAACATATACTAAGAAAGTTCAAAGAAATTACTGAGAAGGGAAATCATCTGGATAACGCTAAAGATGTCAATAATACATCTTATTCACCATATAACACTAAATGGCTGATAGGATATCAGCATTATCTACATGTACATTTGGTTGTGTGGTGAAATATTAGTCATGTGTGTCCTCTTCCTCTACTTCAGGTTGTACCTCCTCAAGAAGAGGTTGTTGTTGTTGGGGTACATCGGTCAATGACTTCAAGAGAAAACACCATGTCATTTCATCCTTGACTGTATAGAGTCGATTTGGTAGTAAGTAGTTCACTCCAATTTGACAATCAATTGGTGTAATTTTTTTTTTCAATCTAATCAGTGAACTCAAACACGAAACATATACGTATACGTGGTTTATAATAATATAAGACAACTATTCATTTCTTTTTATTCCTATACTTCATTTTATTAATCGTTTATTCCATTCATTTATTTTTGTATTTTATGTTTAAATTAAATTTAATATTTTTTTAAAAATATCAATAGTTAAAAATTGCTTTATATTACAATTTAAAATTATGTATTGTGTAACAATTCACCATCATCTTTACCTTTAACAGCTTAGTCACTAATAGCAAAATAACTATTAGTACATAATATATTTTTGCCATACATTCAATACTTGGTCATACATATCATAATATATGTATATAGTCCTCTAAAATGTTCAATAACAACATGAAATCATTAAAGCAAAAGCAAGAATACACACACATATATAGTTATTCAATACTAAATATAATATTCCTATTATCAATCAAACAATATCTACAACCCAGCTACATGAGAGTAGTACCAAAAGAAATATCTACATTATCATTTGTCAAATGGTCTCAAAAGTGCATTTCCTCAAATCTATCATTGCTTTACTCCTATAACAAATATGATCATCACAATTCAATCACATGGAAAATAGATAAAAGTAAGCTAAAGTTCACAAAGTAATCATATGCAACATGAAATATGAACTACATTCATATCATTTTCAACCCATCATTCAACTCAAATCAACATTTACCACATAGCATATGTATCACACAACACAACAGCTCAACCACATATGCACAAAAAATAAATTATATGTGTTGCAACGTATTTCAACTATAGAGATCTCCTATAACACAAATGAACAGTCTAAGTGACTTGATTCTACCAAACTAACAATCCGATC